GGGGACCCTGTGACACCCCATTGAAGAGCCGTAGGCTGTAGATCTCTTAAGATCTCACTGTTGGGCTTGTAAGGCCATGTTACTCGTAAATTTCTATCTTGTTCAAAGAGAAGATATAAAACACAGTTCTAAGCTGATCGACCTCAGTGTTCTCCTTTTTAAAAAGAATCGATAAAGAATCGAATTGTTAAACAGAATCGAAAATGGAATCGGAATCATGAAAATCTTATCAATACCCATCCTTATGCAATACACTACAGAAATCTATGAGAACAGTACATAGCCTCTGCCGACGGCACTTGATACTAATGAAGAAGAACATAGCAGGAAGACAAAACAGGAGGACGGAAGAAAACGTTGTTTTTTTTAAAATGCTTTCACAGTTTAAAAGAATGTGAAAGCATTTCACAGAAAACAAAGTTGAATGCAGACTGCGCAGCTGAGCACGACAGCACTACTGCAGAGCACCAGCATTTAAAGCGATGGCACCCTGGAGCTATGACGTCAACTCTGAATGGGTCAGTTTGGGGAGTTACACTAGTGCATCTTGTTGATACCTTGTTTATGTTAATGATTGTCCAGTAACCTTTATGTTATCGTGAATATCCCCAGTGAGGGACAAAAAAGGATATTTCTATTCTATAATAGCTTATCTGTCGGAAACTCACTGTCTGCTACTTTTTTTTTTTTTCCTCTTCCACCTAACGTTAGGTAGTTAATCTGTGGGTCAATATCAATTAATTATGTCTATAAACAGTTGAACAGTGCATCAACCAAGAAACTATGACATACAACCACATTTTTGATTAGTAACTATCTTTTCTAATTCTGTTTTACTAGTATTAAGCACATGCGCATAGATGAGTTTGTCCTGTGAAGAGGTTCATGCACAGTCATGTCAGCCTGGTTATCATCTGCAGCTGGGAACAACATATCAAACATGAGAGCATGTCCAATCATAAATTCATAAACTGAATCATCTCTAAACTCTGAAAACTTCTGATTTCAGACTGAGTAAAAAAATTATTGTGATTTAATTTGAAGCTTTATTCGAACTTATGGACAGAAGGCATATTTGTTAAATACTACTAGCAATTTAATTTGCATTCCCAAATATTTTTACTTATTTCATTTTTATTCTGATGGTCCTTTTGAGTAATGTGAAAAACACATTTGATTATTTTCAAATTCATGTTTCCTGGGTCGTTATTCTAATTTGCTGTGGTAGGACGACACAACAGAGTGATATTTACAGGTGGGTAGACTTGAGCAGGCGGAGCCTAGAACAGGAGGTTTGCCCACAGGAAGTGGAGTTCACAGTTATTAAAACTGTTGTTGACTAATCGAAGAAGAACTGGCAAATTAGTCGACTACCAAAATCATCTTTAGTCACAGCCCTACCTCTCCATCACAAAAACAAGACAACATTTTGGCCACACGGTGGTGCTGAAAACTGCCTAGTTAACAGTTAAATGTGTTACCTGGGGTCCTCCACGAACTTCTCGATCAGCATGACATCATCATTGAAGGATTTTCTGGCTTCCCGCCGTGCTGACTCCAACTGCTCCAAGAAGTCAGAGTCTGAGCGTGCAATACGCATGCCCTGCAAAATTTTAAAGACAGATGAGTTAGGGTGGCAAGAGTTTAAAGACCACTGACTAACTCAAAGCATAACTCTGTTCTGGGCCCAACTTAATGTCAATCTGTCACGGTGTTGACGTGTATCAGCTGATAAAGGCTGGCACTGAGATCAGCTGATCTGCCAGGATTGGACAAAAGCTTGACTTGATGCATCCTCTCACCTTCCCCCCTCCTCCACGAACTGCTTTGATCATCACAGGGTATCCAATCTGGACAGCCTCTGCCTGCAACTTCTCATTAGATTGGTCCTCTCCATGGTAGCCACCTATAATTGGCACGCCAGCAGCTGACATGATATGCTTGGATGTGCTGAAAAACAAAGTAAAATAAAACACATGAGTTGAAACACATGGTTATTATTTATCTTTCCTATAAATTTGGGTTACAGCAAAGAGACCAAACCTTTTAATGCCCATATCTCTGATGGCAGATGAGGGAGGCCCAATAAAGATGATTCCTTCCTGTTTACATGCCTCAGCAAACTCTGTGTTTTCTGACAAAAAACCATAGCCAGGATGGACCGCCTGCAGATACAAAATGTCAGCAGCAAATAAGTAGATTTAAAAAGGAAACACAAAAAACGGTTACAACACAGAAATCAGACATAAGTGATTAAAGAAGGCTAAATACTATAATGAAAAGAATTCCTTACGTGTGATCCAGAATTTTTGGCCACTTCCAAAACTTTGTCCATAGAGAGGTAACTCTGCTGGGAGGGTGCAGGGCCAATATGGTAGGCTTCATCTGCCTTGAATAATAACAAAGCAAATACAGGTTTAAAAAACAAAAACAATGTCATATTTTATCAATTAAAGGCAGCTTCAGGAAATTATAAACAACTACTTCTTATAAAGTAAAAGGATCCAGTGTCTCACCATAGCTACATGCATGGAGTGTGTGTCTGCATCACTGTACACCGCCACTGAGCGTACACCCATCTTCTTGGCTGAACGCATCACACGGCATGCAATCTCTCCTCGATTGGCAATCAGCACCTTTTCTATCCTTCTCACCCCTGGAAAAGACAAACATCACTGCTCCAAACAACCTCAGCAAGGTGAAGGACTTGGACGTACAGTGTGTGCAAGTCAGTATTTGTAAAATTGGAACAAGATCAGTTCAGAGATTAATCAAACAAACATGCTGAACACCATCAGCTCCTGAAATGGCTGCATGTTGCTTTTCTGTGTAGTGCATGTGATTTTTGGACTTTTTGCATCACTCTTAGTGGTTACTCAATCTTTTGGAAGTTTTGCATGTATATTTATGCTTCCTCACCTCCTGAAACAAGCCTCACGCCTCTCGTGCTCCATGACAGCTTCCTGTGGAGAGACAGAAATAACAACTTCAGCACCACTCGATACTACATAGGCTGAGCTGCTGCTAGAGCAACACAGCAGTGGCACAGGCAGCTCATCACAATACGCATTCAAGAAACACATTGCAGTCAGAAACAAACTCCAAGCTAATTTGAGCTAGTTAGACAGCATGCGAGGTTGCTCCCACAAATATGTTGTGCTATGTTGTGCTAGCACCATTAGCAACGCTAGCAGACAATTTGCTAGCCATTTAACCTTGGTCCATTCTCATATATATCAGGACAGAGTCTCGGTGTTGAATGCAAATAACATTTTCTGCAGGTCAGAAGTCGTGTCCACAGGCTTAATGCTAGCGCCGTGTGCTTAGCTCGGAGAATAACATTAGATAGCCTCCCAAATTGACACCTGTAAGCTATCGTTAAAAACGAGTGCGCTAATTGTCGAACCCTATATAAGACAAAACAGCCCTTCAGTGCTCTTAGGTACTCACTGCGTGAATATCCGCAGGCCCTGCAGAGTTGGGAAACTTAAAATAACTGCAGCCATAGCCACCAGCTGCTGAGGCTAGCTGTGCTAGCTAGCTGAATGAGCACCTGAAAAAAAAGGTCTCGGTGCTGGACTGGATAAGCCAACAATAGAAATGTGATCGACTAAAATGTATATCTCAAAACCACAGCGACTCTCCGGTAAATTTCGTTATCATTATTTTTGACCTCTCCAAGGACTCGTAGGGGCGACAGCCAATTAGAGGGGAAGGATAAGGAGGCGTGAGTAAGCTGCAGTTCTCAAAAGTCGTCAGCAGATGGCAGCATTTCTCTGTCGAAAAGCTTGAGAATTAAAAGTTAACAGGGACTCGAAGTACAAATTTTACTGCATTCAGAACGTTGAATGCATTTTTGTTGCATCCCTTAAATTATTTCAAGTATTATTTTTAATTTTTGTGCAGTAAAATACAACATAATGCAATGAGTATTAGTTTGTAACCTTAAGAAAGGGGGGCAAAGTATGATGAATAGAGACTATTTAATAACCATGTTAGTCTGTACTCTCGCACCCATTTGCTTTTAATGGCATTATTTATAGCTTTCTCGTGCGATTAAAAATATTCCACTCTTAAATTATGAACAATATTTGTTTCAAACGAATATTGAACATGCAGTGAAAAAGAAAAATTAAAATTACACAAGACATGAAAGCAACAACAACAAAATTAAAAAAAAGAGACAACATTTTAAAAAAAAGTTTTATTTATTCAAATTGTAAATACCAGACAAACCGTCTTTGCTGTTAACAGAAGAATGTGACAAGCCAAATGAAGGTTTAGGAAAAGAACAAGTGAAAGAGCAAGTGTATGAACAAGCCAATAGCACCCCCACCACCACCCCCAGTCCAGTTTCACAGTGAACTCTTCGCCATTCAAATCCGTTCGTATCCATCTCTGCGGCGATCTCTGACCACAAGGAAGCTCATCAAACTGATAAGAATGAGACACACGACGGCTGCCCCGATGATGATGGGAATGATTCTCTTGTTATAGTCAGCCCAGCACTCCACCTCTGAACCATGGAGAGAAACAGAGCAGCAATTATGTGTAGGATTTAAGTAAAATACCTTTTTTTTAAAAAATTCTTTTCAATAAGAAATTTAATGTCTAATATTAAACTTTTAACATCTAATGGGATGTCTTTACACACAGTCAGATCATAACAGAGCTCTCATTCTCAAACACGGGAACCTATACTGACCACAAAAAAGGCTGTAAACCTGAAGGGTTGTAAGATGTTGTCCAATTTGTTCATTTTTTCTGCCTCAACTCTAAAAACCTAACTTTGGGCAGGAGATATTTGGTTTCCATTCATTTGTTGCTGTGAAAGCTAGTCACCTTTTCCATACTGTCCTTGAGACAGGTTGAAGGCCTGCATCTGCACAGGAACCAGCTTGATCTTCAGCTCAGACGACATCAAAAGCAGATTCTCAGACTTGCACATGAAGCTTTGACCGTTAGCAGTTTTGAACAGCTTTTCATGGGCCAACACACCTTTGTAAGTCTTGTCTGTTGGGAAGAGGATGAAGCACAAGAGTAGTTAAATTTTCAGTTTATGCTGGGCATCTGAATCACACACCAGCTGTTTGCTGCGTCTTTTCCTTTGGCTCTTACTGGAACAGTCTTTGCAGACAGGCATGGGAGACAAATGTGCATTCATCTCGATGACGTAGAAAACAGTCTTCTCCTGGGGACAAAAACAAAAACATTTGAGCTGATTCATAAACAACAGAACATTACAGCCTCGATGTGAACGTGGATAAGGCAGACCTAAACTGAGTAAAACTGACTATGATGTGAAGAAAGGTATCCACAGCAGGCATGAGGATGACACGGAGAGTTCACCCAGCAGTGAATGAGTGTTGTACCTTTTTGAATTTGAACTGCAGGCTGGCACCATTGTCTGGCAGTGTGAGAGAGAGAAGAGCCTCTTCTTTGCCACAGTAACCACTGACCCTAACTCTGGAGGGGTCCAGGTCAAAATACCAGGTTTTCTGATTTCAAAAGGAGAAAAGTAAAGGCTCAGGATCAGCATTACAAGTCACCATCTCCTCTCACTTTCTGTTTGATTTCTGCGTTACATTGAAGAAAAAGACAAGCAAATCTTTCCTTCTGTGCTGGGTCACATCTGGATCAGTCAGTGAAAAATAGGAGCGCCTCACAAATGACTTAGAATCAGATGATATCTGTTAAATATTGGAGCCCAATCAACGTCACGCCCAGTGTCTCAATTTTAATCTATATTATTATAGCATAGACAGAAAAAAATGATTACACTGAGGTCAGGTGGAAACGACTTTCAAACCGATTGACTCCCATGTGAAACGATCCAACTAACTGAAAAAAAATAAATAAGCTGACGGCAGTTGGAAATTTTTGCAGTGAGAAACCAGCTTGTGACACCTCACAAAGACATGCTGATACAAACACACACTTTTTGCAAAAACTGCTGAAAAGCAACAAAATAAAATTCATACTAATACACAAAAAGAAGCATGCCATTGACCACACACACACACACACAAGTTGCAGCCGCTGACCTTGTTTTCAGTGACCAAGAACTCTGCTCCCATGGTAATTCTGATGCAGGGTTTCCCTCTATCTTTCTTCACATAGTTTCCTGCACCCATATATTAAAAAAACAAAACAAAAAACAACAACAACATAGTTTTGAACTCAAGCATGCAAAATTATAATGCATGCCACTTTCAAATATTTCAGTTAGTCACCTTTAAAGCCATCACATCTGCATCCTTCTCTGAATAGTAGTCAACAAATGAACTGTAGGCCATCTGTTTTGCACACTCATGTTTCCCAAATTCTTCACGTATGCACAGTGAACTATGAATCAATATTGCTTGCAATTCTTAGCCTTCAAAATATGAAATTAATCAGCATGACAGACGATCATTTGTGTCAGGTTTAAAGATTATTTTATCTTCCTTACGTCCCTCTACCTCTTGTCCCATTACACCAGCATCTCTTTGTCTGCTGTAAATGAACAGGGGATTTGGACCATGCATATACATGGAATAAAACAGGTGTACCTGTTTGAGGAGTGGCCTCAGATGGCTGCAGGACTGGCCGGTAGATCTGACCCTTGGAGTGAAGCTCAGACTCCAAAGCAGGCTGGATGGAGCCATTAGTGCTCTGAAAGTGGACACCTGGTAGAAGATCACACCTGTTATTTTCATTGTCTGGTCATACCCAGTTTCTTTTTTCTTGTTTTTTTCTTATCCCTTGCATAAAGTTGTATATCATTTAGAAATGAATAAATAACTAGTGGAAGTCTTCGCAAAATACAAACACAGAACCCTCTTTCAGTAAGTACTTACCTGAAAAAGGGAAAAAAAAAAAAAAGAAGAAGAAGAAAGAAACTATGGTCAAATGCATTAAGGGGGGAGTGCAGTAGGTCCACTATCTTGAATGCCCTTCACCCATTAACTCCAGTCCAACACAGCTACTTCTTTATTAACCCAGAGAACCAGAAACGATTGAGCACTCCAGTTATTTGGAACAGTCTGAACCAGTATAGCAGCACAAGTTGGATGAGTTGGAATACTGTTAGTCATGATAATAAGTGGAGCAGTATGGCTCATTTTAAAAGCACAGCTGCAAAGTGCTTTACTGTTCGGATAAAACTTACATTAAAGAAGTCAACATACACTATACACACAAACATGTTTTCAAACATACAGTCATCCATTCATTTGTACTGTGCACATATACTTCTATAGAAAGGTGTGAACACATAAGGAAAAATAAGTTTTCAGCTGCCATTTAAAACTGACTAGCCGACAATGGCTGTTCCAAAGTTTAGTAGCTACAACTGCAAAAGCGTGGCCACCCGTGTATTTAAAATAAATGATCGGAGAGGCCGACAAGGTCTGTGGCAGATGCAGGAGTGACAGATGCAGGAGCCTGTCCATGTAGGTCTTACATGGACAAAAAAAACCCCATCAGCTGATGGGTTTTTTTAATGTTACAGCCAGGGGAGGTTTGAAGCTCTAATTCTTGAGTCAGCAGAGCCTTTTACACACTGCATGCCTTAGCGCTCAGCGGCTCTGTGGTTTGTCACTTTACAGCCAAGTTGCTTTGGCTCCCAAACATTCTTAATATTATTATTTAGCATTTTTGGTCTTCATTAATTTCTGAAGTGTTATGCAGGTAAGTGGTGGGAAAAGGCTGTCTTAATGAGTCTGGTCAACAGTAAAAAAAATTAAAAGTCAAGTCATTTTAAATGAGTCAACAAAAACAGCATTTCAGAAGGTGCAGCATTTAATGACACAGATAATAGTGCATGCAGCATGAGAAGTACTTCTGCTCAGGTCATACCACTCTTTTTTGCTAAAACCACAGAGTGACAAGCGCGACATCTTTGGGACAGCTAAAGACCACTGTGTGGGAGAGGAAACCAGCGCAGTCTCATATATGACGTTTACCACACTACACTCTTGCAACGAAATATTACCATTTAAACAGAAGTGGAAACAGCAGTATCAAACAGAGTGAGAGTAAAACAATTGAAAATGGAAGAACTTTGGTTTTGACATGTAAATAAAAAACAATCCTGTCAAGTGAGTTTAAGGTCATCTGTCTGTGGATGGTTGAACTCCACTTGAATGCTATTAGACTTACCTGGAATGACAGCAGCCAGGAAGAAAAGATACCATCCACCTCGGTGGCCTTTTAGCATCGCAGTTAGAACACAAAAGAGAATAGCCATGCCACTGGATCAGAAGTGCAGCAGCTGTGCCTTGATGTCTAATTGTGAAACTGTTGAACACCTAACACCTAAATGAAGGGTGCAAAGGAAGTGAAGTGACAAAGGGGGTGGGGCAGAGACCGCTGCCTCACTCAGCATTGACACATCTGAAACTTTTGTTTTAAAAAGACAAGTTTTAAAGCCTTCCAGCTGTTAAATGCAAGTACCTTTGTATTTAGTGTTCAGAGAAATCAGGTTTTAAATTCTATGAAAGTGTTCTGTTCAATGAATTCCTAGTTTTTAGGGAAAATATTACTGGTCTAGTGAAAAAGAAAAAGATTACAATTCCCAGTCACATATTAAAGGGAAAAAAATGAACCAAGAGAGCAGAAACTCTTTTAAATGTCATAATCATTCTGTTTCCCGCTATTAATTTACATGGCACAGGCTGGCACTAAAGTGTCAGTTACAGGAAAAGGGTCAGGCAACACATGAGCATGCTCACAGATTCAGCTGTAGGTGATTGGGGTTGAAAGACTATTTAAACAAGAACACAGAACGACAAAAAAAAAAAAATTCATCAGACATTAGTTATGTAACCAGGTTTTTGCATATATTTTGTCTTAGAGCATTATCCAGCATGTCTATGTACATGGCATCACAAAGATGCAATAGGATCTGGATATACTGGGTCCTAGTTCAAGCCAATTCAATAAGTCGAGACAAATTCTTAAAGAGTTGGGAGTCGATCAAATAAATAAATCATCTTGATGTCTCTGGTAAAGCAGGAAAAATAAATGTCCTGTGGAATATTCAGAAGTTTAGCCTGGGAGTCAGAAAGTCATGCAGAAAGTTTCTTCAGTTCTAAAACTAAAAAGTGAAGAGCCCCAGGTATTTAATCCCTAGTGGGGATTGTCCCTTAAAAGGGCTGTTAACCCATTATTAATCATGTGCCTCATTACATGAGCCAAGGTGTGAAAAAAGGTCGTAGAGGTTTCAGGTGAAAACACTATGAGACCTTGTTGCACCCTATCATGTGACCTACTCACCGGATAAACAATGTCACTTGGGGTTTTGGGGCCTGGCAAGGGACTGCATTGTAGATGGCTGACAGTTGGTATCGTATGCCACTCTCTCTGTTCAGTGATGGCTTCTTTTACTTCTCTATCAATCCATCTGCCTTCTTGTTCCAAATTCGGAACCGTGGCATCTTTGAAAGAGTGACCTTTATCCTTTAGATGCAGATGTAAACAGAGTCTTGTCCTGTCGAGGTCTTTCTCCAGTGTAGAGGTCTGAGCACGCCTCACTGTACTGCACAGTGGTTGGCTGAAATTGTTTTTAACATGAAAACAGAACAACACTGCCCACAAGCAGCAAGACTGGTGACTGCATTAAAATACGAAATAGGCACTAGACTTTTGAAAATGTCAAAGCACAGCTCACATAATACCTCTTATCAATCATAAACTTAATATGTTGTCATTTTGCGCCAGCTCAGGTTTCTCAAAACCTGAGATGTCCTTCTCTGAGCTTTCACCTTCCTTTTTAATCAAAATGCTCGACTGTGGGAAGTTAATTTTTAAAATGATGTTCAGAAAACAGAAATTTTACAAGAAATCCACAATAAAATAAAAAATATCATTGCATTACATCACTTTCTGTTATTTAGCAAGATCTGATGTCCAGAAGCAACAGAGGATAAAAGGAGGAAAAATGTATGTAGCATGTTTCTTTCATCCATAGCACTTAAATAACCTAAGGTTATTATTAAAGGAACCATTTTTGAGCAATTTATTACTTAAAACATCTCTAGAGCAGCAAAGTGATTAAACCGGAGCCGGAAGCACAAACTAGGAGATAATCAGGAATTAAACAATGGTACTTAAGCAGGCAGAATACACATATTGAACCACAAAGGCAAAAAAATGAAAGAGATACAGACCACTAACTACGGGAGTGGAAACAGAAGGGTAACAAGAAGCAGGTGTTGATAGTCAAGACAATGAATTAGGGGAGGGAGTGAAAATTAAACACAACGCACAAGTTACAAATAAGTATCAAAATAAAAGAGGAAATGAACAACATCATGGCTGAAACAGAAATGCAGGAACACGAATAAAGTCAACATGGAGGAACACAGAGGATTAAAAGATGAGGATTAAAAAACAATGATATCTACAAACCAAAACACAGTAGTCAAGTAAACAACTAAAACATGAAAACAAGTAAAACTTAAATCAACATGAAAAAATAATCTGGGAAAACACAGAGAACCAAATAAGACCAGAAAACGCATAAGGAACAATAATAAACACCTTTCTTTTGTTTTCTGTATACTCCTGTTTGTCTATAATCCCCCTTGAATGAATACTGTTTTTATTTATTCCTGCTGTCTTACTCTTTATATATTGTAAAGGAGTAAAATACTCCTGCACCACATGTATAATGAAAGGAAAGCAAATCACAGTGTGCAGTAGCGGTTTTAGATATGGGCGACATGGGCGGTTGCCCGGGGCACAACGCACAAAAAAAAAATGCTCATACTCATGCTGACCCGATGTCATGCCAGCGCATATTGGGAATGGCATAGGCACCGATCGGTTTTCTATCGCCCATTTGCTGGGAGTAATAGCGCCCTCCGTTAGTGATGTGCGCCTGCTGCTTGCGGCACAGGGAGGAGAGGGCAGGAAGGCGGGGATTCACTGGCTGGCTGGAGCTGCATCTAATAACCAACAATAATATGATACAGATTTATAATTTGCACCGATGTTTTTTCGAAATTCTATACGCGAAAAGTGAGCGCGAAAGCCCTCGGTGCGCCTGCTCGCTGCTGAAGTCAAAGTAAAACTTTATTGTCATCTCTGTTACATACAGTGCAGTATATAGAGAGATGAGAGGATGAGGCTCCAGTTACAGCAGTGCAAGTAAACAAACAAGAGTAAGAAAATAAATATACACTTTAGGACTCGGGGTAAAGGGATCAATAACAATTTGAAATTTATAATTTACAGTTTGATGATTTAAAGTCTCACACACAACCTGTCGAAAGGGGAGGGGGCCGGCTGCTTCCAAATAGAGCACATTTCATTCATAATGATGTAAATCCAAGCCCATCATATTCATGATTTGAATCCTGGGTTGTGCGAAATCCTAGAAATACACCTTAGACAAAGTGAATCTGTGAACTAAGGTGTAGGTCTATTAGATTATGTTGTGGTGATCCTCGGGTTGGGGGATTTGTGTTCATACCGGAGTGCAAAATTAAAAGCAATGGAAGATGGACAAGAAAAGTTCAAAGCCATCAGGTGCTCATTTTAGAAAAAGGAGAAAAGAAGAGGAGGAAAAACGAGCAAAAGATGCAGGTAAGCAGATGTGTCATTGGATAATGGCAGGTCATCCTGAAACAATCAGAATCAGAATACTTTATTAATTCCTAAGGAAATAATGTGGGTTACAGTTGCTCCAAAAAAGAAATTGTAAAAATAGTAACAGTAACAGACTAAACTCCAAACAATACATTATGTTACAGATTTTAGTCAGTGTCAATTGTTGATTTGTCCTGTTCTCATTGTATGACGAATTATGGTGAAATTCAGTATGGTTTCAACAACAGCTCTATGTTAATGTACAATCCTTAATATGTTTTGTGTGTGTGTGTGTGTGTGTGTGTGTGTGTGTGTGTGTGTGTGTGTGTGTGTGTGTGTGTGTGTG